ATGCTCCAATAAAAAGACATAGAGTAGCTGATTGGATAAGAAAGCATGACTCATCTATATGATGCTTACAAGAAACCCACCACACAACAAAAGACTCACACAGTTTGAAAGTGAAGGGAGGGAAAAAAATCTTCCAAGCAAACAGAAAGGAAAAAAAAGCTGGGGTAGCAATACTCATATATGATGAAATAGATTTCAAAATGAAGGCCATAACTAGAGACAAAGAAGGCCACTACATAATACTGCAAGGATCTATCCAACAGGAAGATAAAACCTTGTTAAACATATATGCACCCAATATAAGAGCAGTAAAATATATTAAAAAATTTCTGGAGGACTTCAAATGAGAAATCGACAGCAATACAATCATAGCAGGGGACTTTAACACCACGTTGACACCACTGGATAGATCCTCTAGACAAAAAATTAGCAAGGAAACAGAGACTCTCAATGAAGCACTAGACCAAATGGATTTAATAGATATCTACAGAATTCACATTCTTATCAAGTGCACATGGGACATTCTCAAAGATAGACCACATGATAGAACACAAATAAATCTTTACAAGTTCAAGAAGATTAAAATCATATCAAGCATCTTCTCAGATCACAATGGCATGAAACTAGAAATCAATTGCAACAAAAACATGCAAAGACATTTGAAAACGTGGAGGCTAAATAGCATGTTATTAAACAATGAATGGGTTGCTGAGGAGATCAAGGAAGAAATTAAAAACTTCCTGGAAACCAATGAAAATGAACACACAACAACACAAAATCTATGGGATGCAGCGAAAGCAGTTCTGAGAGGGAAGTTCACAGCACTACAGGACTACCTCAAGAAACAAGAAAAATTTCTAATTGACTGTCTAACCACACAACGTAAAGAATTAGAATGCAAACAAATAGAAAATCCCACAGCAAGTACAAGGAAGGAAATAGTAAAGATCAGAGCAGAAATAAATCACAGAAAGACCAAAAAAACAATTCAAAGAATCAATGAACAAAGAGGTGGTTTTTCGAAAAGATAAGATTGATGGACCCTTAGCTAGATTCACCAGGAAACAAAGAGAGAAAACACAAATGCACAATATCAGAAATGAAAGAGTGAAAAATCACAACTGACACCACAGGAATACAAAAGATCGTTAACAGCTACTATGAACAATTATATGGCAAGAAATTTGATAATCTAAGCAAAATAGACAAATTTCTAGAAACACATAGTGTCCCAAAACTGGACCAGGAAGAGATAGAAAACTTGAACAGACCAATAACAATTAAGGAAATTGAAGAGGTAATTAAGATTCTTCCAGCAAACAAAAGCCCATACCCAGATGGCTTCATGGGGGAGTTTTACCGAACATTCAAAAAAGAACTAACACCCATTCTCCTCAAACTATTTCAAAAAAATTCAAGAAGCAGGAAGACTTCCAAACTCATTTTATGAGGCCAGCATAATTCTAATACCAAAAACAGAAAAAGACACTACAAAGAAAGACAACTATAGGCCAATATCCCTGATGAACAGACACCAAAATCCTGAACAAAATACTAGCAAATCGGATCAGGCAATACATCAAAAAAATTTTTCACCATGACCAAGTGGGATTCATCCCAGAAATGCAAGGCTGGTACAATATTCGTAAATCAATAAACGTGATAAACCACATAAATAAAAAAAAGAATAAAAACCACATGATCATATCAATAGATGGTGAAAAAACATTCGACAAAATCCAGCATCCATTTCTGATAAAAACGCTCAGCAATGTGGGAATAGAGGGATCATATCTCAACATAATAAGGCCATATATGAAAGACCTACAGCCAACATCATACTCAATGGGCAGAAACTAAAAACATTTCCTTTAAGAACAGGAACAAAACAAGGATGTCCACTTTTGCCACTCTTATTTAACATTGTACTGGAAGTCTTAGCCATAGCAATCAGACATGAAAAAATAAAAGGGATCCAAATTGGAAAGGAGGAAGTGAAACTGTCATCATTTGCAGATGACATGATATTACACATAGAAAACCCTAAAGACTCCATCAAAAATCTACTAGACTTAATAAATGAATTTGGTAAAGTAGCAGGATACAAAATTAACGTCAAGAAATCGATGGCATTCTTATACACCAATGATGAACTCACAGAAAAAAAAAAACAAAACAGAAAACAATCCCATTTACCATCGTGGCAAAAAAATTAAGGTACCTAAGAATATACTTAACCAAAGAAGTAAAGGACTATTTGCAGAAAACTACAGGACACTGAAAAAAGAAATAGAGGAAGATATAAAAAAGTGGAAGCACATACCTTGTTCATGGATTGGAAGAATTAACATCATTAAAATGTCCATATTACCCAAATCAATTTATAGACTCAATGCAATCTCCATAAAAATACCAACAACATATTTCACAGAACTAGAACAAATACTTCAAAAGTTCATATGCAACCAAAAAAGACCCCGAATAGCCATAGCAATTTTGAAAAAAAAGGGCAAAGTAGATGGGATCACAATACCAGATATCAGGTTATACTACAAAGTGACAGTAATCAAAACAGCCTCGTATTGGCACAAGAATAGGCATACAGACCAGTGGAACAGAATAGAGAACCCAGAAATGAACCCAAGGCAATATGCTCAATTAATATTTGACAACGGTTGTAAGAGCATACAGTGGAGTCAAGACAGCCTCTTTAATAAATGGTGTTGGGAAAATTGGACAGCTACATGCAAAAAAGTGAAACTAGACCATCAACTTACACCATACACAAAAATAAACTCTAAATGGATAAAATAATTAAATGTAACCCATAAATCCATAAAAATTCTAGAAGAAAATGTAGGCAACAAAATTTCGAACATCATACGCAGCAGAATTTTCACTGATACATCACCTAAGGCAACAGAAACAAAGGAAAAAAATGAACACATGGGACGACATCAAACTAAATAGCTTCTGCACAGCAAAAGAAACAACCATCAAAATAGAAAGGCAACCCACTGTATGGGAGAGCATCATTGTCAATGATACATCAGATGAGGGGTTAATTTTCAAAATATATAGAGTACTCATACAACGCAACAAAACAAAGACAAAGACAAACCCAATTAAAAAATGGGCAGAGGAGCTGAATAGACACCTCTCCAAACAGGACATACAAATGGCCAAGGGACATATGAAGAAATGCTCAACATCACTAATTGTCAGAGAGATGTAAATTAAAACAACAATGAGGTATCACCTCACACCTGTCAGAATCGCCGCCATCAAGAAATCATCAAACAAGTGTTGGCAAGGGTGTGGAGAAAAGTGGACTCTAGTGCACTGCTGGTAGGAATGCAGACTGGTGCAGCCACTATGGAAAACAATATGGTGTTACCTCAAAAAATTAAAAATTGAACTTCCATTTGACCCAGTGATCACGCTTCTAGGAATATACCCTATGAAGTCTGAAACACCAATCAGGAAGAATATATGTACCCCCATGTTTGTAGCAAATAGCTAAGATCTGGAAACAGCCCAAGTGTCCATCAGTAGACAAATGGATAAAAAAGCTGTGGTACACATACACAATGGAGTACTATGCAGCTGTAAGAAAGAAAGATCTCTTATCCTTTGAGAGGACATGGAGAGACCTGGAAAGTATTATCCTAAGTGAAAGAAGCCAAGCAGAAAAAGACAAATACCACATGATATCACTTATATATGGAATATAATGAACATAACAGTCTGAGGAATAGGGTAGACCCAGAAACATGAAAGTAGGGTACAGACTGACAACCCTCAGAAGAGGGGGTGGTGGGGGTGGGAAGAGATAAACCACAGAACTTATATGCATGTACGCATAACAAATGGACATGGACAATAAAGCCAGCGATGGGGTGGGGGGCATGGGGGGAGGGTATCAATGGTATAATAATGGAGAAACATCTGTAACAAAAATAAAATTAAAAAATAAAAATAAATTTTAGAAAAAAATGATATATACTGAAATAATTATTTTTATACAATGTTTGATATTTTCTTCAAAATAAGTCTGTGATGTGATGGAGCAGAGAGGGTTATTAATGAAAGAGAACTGGCCCTTAATTGATAACTGGTGAAGCTGTGTGGTAATGACAGGGAAGTTCACCATAATAATAGTATTTTTGCCACTTTGGTGCATGTTCAAAAATTCTCGTAATAAATACAATACCTTAAAAATTATGATGATATATTTTATAAATCTGATTAAGTCTAACAATTACTAAATGTGAATTTTATGAGTCATACTGGTTAAAGAAATGCCTTAATTTGTATACCTTCACTCCATACAAATAAACCACCCAAGTCTCTGTACTGCTCTTGACATCCACTATTTAGTAATGCTTATAATCTGCTTTAAATTAACATCTTATTTATTCTTAGCTTTAGGCTTAACTAATAAAATCCAATTAAATCATAGGGTAAGCAACTGAGGCTAGTTAGTGCCCAGTCAGTCCCCCATCCATACAGAAACACGTGCATTTCCAAAGGAAGGAAAATGAATATTATGGCTTGGTAAATTTATTATTTTGTTCAACAAAGCACTTTTAGAATGAGGCTAACAAAGGGAGAGAGTCTTCAGGGGCAGTTTACAAGAGAAAGCTTAACATAATATCATCAGTTTATTCTATTATATGTAGAATTCAATATTCTAAACTAAAAAAATTTGTATTAGGCTATTATGTTTTTGGTAGTTAAAATATTGTATCTTCCTCTAAGACTCCGAAACTCTATGACAATATAGGTTCAAGTTTTAGAAATTAATGATTTTGAACTAAATGGTTCATACACATTCAAGTATAGGATCTATACCTAGGAAATATACCATTTTCCTGTTGAATGGAACAGAACCATGTGATCAAACCAGGTGGGTAGTCTGTGTCCTTCCCTCCTTCATACGAAGTGAAACCCACAACTTTGTAAGTCTGAGGAAACTTAAACTGTAATGTTCAACTTACATATACAAGTGGGGATCTGAGGTCAGAGTGTCAATGTTGATGTGCTGTTCCAGTAGACTGTAGGCCAGGATGGGCAAGGACGTGAAGCAGATATTGTACATTGTAAGGTAAGCAGCATCATACAGTGGCTGAAATGACAAACAACAGAAGAGAAAGAAAAGTCCTATAACAATCATCTTCAAGAGGATATTTATGTGTTAAAAAAAAACAAAAGCTAAAACAAGACAGTTTTTTCACATTTTGTAATACCAAAGGAAGTTTTCTTAAAAAAAATTAAATACCTTTTTATTTTGAAATTACAGTTGACATTATATTAGTTTCAGATGTGCAATCCTGTAACTAGGCATTTATATAACTTATGGAGTTATCACTCTGATAATTCAAAGTACCCATCTGGCACGATACATAGTTATTACAATATTATTGACTATATTCCTTATGCTGTACTTTACACCCCCATTACTATTCTGTAACCACCAATTTGTACTTCTTAATCCCTTCACCTTTTTCACCCATACTCCCCCAAATCTAACCTCATCCCACCCCAAATCTGGCAACCATCATAGTGTTCTCTGTATCTATGAGTTTGTTTCTCTTCTCCATGTTTGTTTATTTTGTTTTTTAGATTCCACATATACATCTGGTATTGTCTTTCTCTGTCTGATTTATTTCACTCAGCTCAATACTCTCTAGACCAGTGGTTCCTAACCTTCCTAATGCCGTGACCCTTTAATACAGTTCCTCATGTTGTGGTGACCCCCAACCATAAAATTATTTTCGTTGTTACTTCATAACTGTAATTTTGCTACTGTTATGTCTTAGGCGACCCCTATAAAAGGGTCGTTTGACCCCCAAAGGGGTCGAGACTCACAGGTTGAGAACTGTTGCTCTAGACTCATCCATGTTATTGCAGATGGCAAGATTTCATTCTTTGTTATGGCTGAATTATATTCCATTGTATACATGCATTTAGTTATCCATTCATCTACTGATGGACACTTAGGTTGTTTCCATATCTTGGATATTGTAAATAATGCTACAATGAACATATGGGTGTATATGTCTTTTTGATTTAGTGTTTAGGTTTCTTTAGATTAACACCCAGAAGTGAAGCTGCTGGGTCCTTCTTTGTCTCTTGTTATAGCCTTTATTTTAAAGTCTATTTTATCTGGTATAAGTATTGCTATCCCAGCTTTTTGTTTGTTTGTTTCCATTTTCATGAGATAGCTGCAGCTTGAGAAAGAGCAAAGTGGCTTCTGACATCACGGAGCTGGCCTGGCGCTCACAGCTAAGCATGGGTGGTCTGCCAAACATGTACATTTTCACAGAAATGTAATATCAAACAAGGCCATTCTGTGATTATGATGTATTAAAACAAAAACAAAACCAGTCCACAATCACATATGAACACAGAGCATGAATATCATTCAAATCATAAATAATGACAAACAAACCCATTCTGGATAATATGAGTAACTGTTGCTTCTTGACCAATGACAATGTTAACCTCTTTCTAGTCTTTATTCCTCCTGAATAAGATTTACTGAAATGCCCAGTCATAAAATTACCTCTGCTTATTAACAGTACACAATCTAGAGCAAGGCTCCACTTCTTAAAGCCTTCTGAAAATTACCTAACTCAACCCAAATCTTATAAGACTTTTCTAACACTCTCTTCATGAGAGGCCTCTGTTCCTCATGGTGTGTATTCTTTCTCATTGCATCGAGCAATAAACCAAATTTGATTACCTACAAGTGTGTTCCTGGTAGTGTTTGGCTAGAGGGCTTTGACAACCTTAAGCTCTTAGAACAGAACTTGACATATAAAAAGCATTCAATAAATATTGAATGATTGATTAGAGATTGAAAGCTATAACACATTTGTAAAAACCTGATTTGATATTGTAAATTTTCCTTTATGGAAAAAAATTAAGGTATTCTCTGAATCTCATTTTGATGAATATACTTATTGAGTTCAGTATTTCTCTACACAGTGTTAGATATCATACAACCATTACCTGTGGCCTGAATATCTCATATTCATCTGTATTTTCACACATATAAATGTTATTTGATTAATAAAATGCATTTAAATATGACATAAGTGAACACAATTATGCATTTTCAAACAATGGTTAGTAAAGATACACTTACTATCATAATGGGAGTTGCCTCAAAAAGGTTGAGAACAACTTGAATAGAGCATTAGTTCATTTATTACTTGAGTTAAAAAACATTTACTGAGTGCTTACTAAGTGACAAGTAAGATTCATGCCCTGTATGTTTAGGAACCCAAATTGCAGAAGCAGAGCAGGGTGGTGAGTGTATAAAGAGCTGGGGAAGCTTAGAGGAAGGGACAAATTTGACCTACGTTAGAGACAAAGCAAGATAATATGCATGCAAAATTATCAATGAAGTTAAAACTATGGCTCTACATAGAACATGGAGATGCTTCCATATACAAAGGTTTAAACTCAGCAAAAATATTCTACTAAATTCTTAAGGGGGAGGACTAGTCTGTTGACATAAAGCACTACATTTTCATTGGAAACTACCCATTTTCGCTAATGAGGAAATTAAAAAGAATAACTCAGATTGATTGGTATTTAATTTAGTCTTGAATTTCACTCAAACAAAAGAAAGAAGCATCAGTCTACTTTTGTTTCACTATGGTACTTTGAGGTTACATGAAAGAGAATAGTAATTCTTAGATGCATAATTAGAGAAGGTAGAATTCTGTCCTCAAAATAAACAACAGCTTTACTTGATAATACTATTTGTTATATCAAGTTAACATACAGCATATTCTTTATGTAGTAAATGTTCAAAAAAATAATAGAAGACAAAAAAATGTAGAGTTGATCAAGTAATCCAAGGCTTTATCGAGGAATCACAGCTTCACGGCCAGCTTAAAACTCAACGTTTTTCTAAAAAATCAATTTGAGAAACTGCAAAGGTGTGAGATTCTATTTTATGAAATATTAAATTATAACATTTTAGGATTATTGGAAAACAATAAATATGCTGATACAAAGAAAAAAATCAGAATACTCTTTCAAAGGTTATCTCAAGTCTAATAAGATATACTAAATAACTTTAAAAACAAAGTAATAATAAGAACACGACTAAAACAAAAACAAACATTTGCTGTTGTCAAAATGCAAGCCAAGAAGGTCTACTGTTGGGAAAAAAAAAAAAAAAAACTCTTTTTACTTTGGATATACTTCTCTAATACCTATAATCCAACACATAAAAAGGTAAATTATTAATAGTAAGTATAAACTATATTATAACAAATAACTAGGGAAACAAACCTGTTGTGAGAATCCGCAGAAGAATTGGTACAAAAATTGTGGCAAAATGAAACAAAGGTTCTGGGAGAAAAATGGAGAAAAAGGTTAATGTTTTCACTTAATCAAATTTCTAAACTAAAACAAGAAACTACTCCAAATAGACTACAGGCAGTCCTAAGTCCTTCTAACATCAGAAGGCAATAAATCTCTATTCTAGAGTTGTAAGTGAATAACAAAAACAAATGACTAATTCATATTAATATCAACTTTTGCCCTACCAAGGCCAAAAGATCTCACTTTATGAGAACCTCTTGCTATTCTTCTGGTAAAGGAATGAGATCACATAATACAAGTACCTAATGGTACTATACCTTAAATGCCAATTAGATTTAAAATCATTATAAAGTAGTTTTATCATTAACTGTGTTTCAGTACTCACAACTGTAAACCTACTTTTGCCCATCCCGTATTTTAAATCAATTAATGCCAATAAAGAGTCAGGAAATTATTACAGTGTATGTTGCTTTACTGCCTTTATCACTGCCTCATCAAACAATCAACATACTAATATTGATCATTTACTATAAGCAAAGACGGCACCCTGGGTGATACAAGAAAACCAAACCAAAACAAAACTACTTATTCCTAAGGGACTTATAATTTAATAGGGAGAATACTAAAATTAGATATTAAAAATTCAAGCAAAGAATTCATAAGGCACTAAAAGTTACTTGCTGTGGCTCTAAATACTGAAATTAATATCTTCAGGCCAAACTACCAGAATCAATACTTTCAAATGACCTTGAGTGCTGCTTATTCACTTTTTCAAACTGTCTCTGGATTTTTCTTTGGGCAGCACCTTTATGAGCCCATTTTTGAGCCATGTCAAAAAGCTAGTCTCCTTCCTTCTGTCATACATTCTCACTTAGGTAATTTACCAGGCTGGGAGACTAGAGGTTGTTTTTGAAAATCTAGCCCCACTGGTTTGGCTCAGTGGATTGAGCATCGTTCCACGGATTGAGAGGTCCTAGTTTGATTCCTGGTCAGGGCACATGCCCTGGTTGTGGGCTAGATCCCTAGTGGGGGGCATGTAGGAGACAGCTGATTGATGTTTCTCTCTCCCATCGATGTTTCTATCTCTCTCTCCCTTAAAAATCAATAAAAACATATTTAAAAAAATATATATAAATCCAATACATTCTCAAAGGATGAACATCTGCCATGGCTGAGGATATTTAGGTGAATATAATAAAGGCTCTGGAGGATATTCCTAAAGAAAATTGCTATACATGTTTTGATTAACTCCTATAGCATTACAGTAAGTGCCACTGCTCAAAAGAGTTCATCACCTGGAAGGGCAGCACTCAATTGTATGTATCAATTCTAATATAAAGTAAAATTTTGTAGGTAGCATTTCTAAAGTCATACTTTTTCTTTTTTATTGAATTTATTTTTTTATATTTTATTTTTTTAAGAGATAAGGGAGAGAGAGAAACATCGATGTGAGAGAGCTACATCAATTGGCTGCCTCCTGCACACCCCCTACTGGGGATGGAGCCCACAACCTGGGGAATGTGCCCTGACTGGGAATCAAACCAGGACCTCTCAGTCCATGGGAAGATGCTCAATCCACTGAGCAACACTGGCCAGGCTTTTACTGAATATATTGATGTGACATTGGTTAATACGATTCTATCGGTTTCAGATGTACAATTCTATAATATATCAAATGTATATTGTCTTGTGTGTTCAACAACCCAAGTCAAGTTTCTTGCCATCACCATTTATCCCCCCCATACCCTCTAAATACTGATGTCTGAGGAGGCAGAGCTTGGAGGGATTATGGGAGTGCTTTGTGGGAAGGGGAGTCTGACTCTCCCACTAGGATGTAATTTCCATAAGAACAGGGAGTTTGTTTTATTCCATTATGAATTCTGGGGGCCTAAAACAGTGCTTGCCACGTGGTAATACATTCAAACATTTGTTGATTGAATAAATAGAGAAGTTAGCATTTGAACTAGATGCTAAAGATGATTAGGATATGCTGATAGTAGGAAACAAGGTAAGGTTTTAAGAATTTTAAAAAGATAAGGTAAAACAGGGTGAGACTGTGCGGTGCTTTAAAAGCCAGACTAATCCGTAGACAATGGAGAGTCAAGTTTCTATAGTACAGTTGGTAAGTGAGATTTTTCAAACATTAACCTGGCTGAATTATGCAAGGTAGACTGCATGGAGAAACAGAAAGCAAGATCTGTCACTGAAGTACTTCAGGGATGAGGCAATAACAAACTGAAGATGTAGGAAGTCTTTTTAGCTCAGCTAAAGAGGGCCAAAGGTATTATAAATTATCTTGGGATGAATGGCAGCACTAAAATAGGAATATTTCTAAGTCAGTAATTAAGAGATAATGGGCATAGAGATCCTATGAAGACAGAGGGCACCACCTATATAAATAATCCCCACAATTGGGAACCTTCAATTACAGACAACTGGGTAAACATTAGCCATTTTAATGCTTATTTTGTTTTCCTTAATAGAGTATTCCTTCCATCTGGTGGCAACTGAATGAATTGCAGGCCAACATTTTAGGCAAACCAAGCCTCTGGAAATAGGGATTAGACTGGTAGGCAGATCTCTATGGTAAATCTTCATGGGCTCTCCTAGAGGGAGGTAAGAGAGAATAACAACCCATCGCCACGCTCCATTTGGGGCTGTTAAGTTACTGAGTCCGAGGTTCCATAAACCCTAATTATTTTGTACAGAGTACTAGAATTAGCGTAAGTAAAGCTATTGTGGAAATCTTGTTCTGTCACCTCCTATATTGCTCCAAAGGCAAGTTATGTAAGTTCTCTGAGGCCTACTTTCCACATATTTTATTTTTAATTTTTAGTTTTTACATTTTTTTCTTTATTGATTTTAGAGAGAGAGGAAGGGAGAAGAAGAGAGAGAGAACATCGATTGGCCACCTCCTGCATGCCCCCCACGAGGATTTGGCCCACAACCTGGGCATGTGTCCTGACCAGGAATTGAACTGGCAACTTCTTGGTGCATGGGTTGATGCTCAACCACTGAACCACACAGGCCAGGCTCCACATATTTTAAATGGAAATAATATGAACTGCCTCGTAGATTTGTGAAGATTAAATAAGAAAATAAAGTGTTTTTGTCAACCAGTAAAGTACATTACACATACTGGGTTAATAATTATCACTATTAATCATCATCGATGTTTGACCTGGATAGCAGCTGATATTGGTTGACAGGGTCTTAGCAAATCTGTAAACCTGAGGTCATGGTTTTATATATATTTTGTTTGTTTGTTTGTTTTTTTAAAATATGAAGTTAATAAGACCTGGGCTTGATCACAGAAAAACAGTTTCTAAGCTTTTCCTCCTATGATATATAGGGTATGAAACATCCTAACCACTTGAATCATTTAGAACTGGTACATTAACCTGATAATACACCTATAAACTGAGATATAATTAAAATCTTTGGTAAATGGCTATTATAGACAGAACAATGAGTATGCAGGCTCAGTTTAACATGTACTCTAATTGATGTTAAAAGAAAATCAAGGTGTTGTTGGAGAAACTACCTTATGTTTTTTGGGAAACCCCCAATGTCTAATCATGGGGGGGGTTTGCACAATTATTATTTTAGGTGAACATTTAACTGGATGGAAAAAAATGCTCACAACATATTAAATAAAAATGGCAAAGTGCTAAACATGTTTTGGGGCTGACTGCTAATAGGTTTGCGGTTTCTTATTGGAGTGATGGAAATGTTCTGGAATTAAATAGTGGTGATGGTTGCACAGCCTAGTGAATATACTAAAAGCCACTGTATTATATACTACAGTGAATCGTTATCTGAATTACACCTCAAAAAAAAAAAAAAAGAAAAAGAAAAGAAAACGCCCAGTATACACAGTGTATGAAAACAATGTGTACATATGTTAATTTGTATAGACAAAAGTACAGGTCACATAACAACGTTATCATTGGTTCTTTCTATTGGTATGCATTTACAGATGACTTCAAAAATTTCATTTTAGAAAAGAAGTTATGTATAAGTAAAAGAGATTGGAAAAAATCCCTTGTAAAATTTTCCTTTCATTTAGAGCATTAACTCACTAAGCAACATCCTCAGAGAACCTCAACTTGAGGAGAACCATGCAAGTTTGACATAATCAAAAATCAGAATTAGTCAAGATTAGAGAGGAAAGACCCAATTGAAACGCAAACAAAAATTTTACCTAAATATATTACAAATAAATAACATAACCACACTAAAATGGTAGAAAAGGGGGGTAAAAACAAAGTTTGGAAATAGTATTTTGACTATAGACTCTAAGGCCAAAGACAAAAATAAGGGCACACAAATATATAACTCAAGTGAGTTTGTTTCTCCCAGGAGTATGAGTTAGCAATTCTGAAACTACTTTAAGTGTATTCTAGGATTGAGTAAATAAATAAACATATTGAGAATAATGTTGACTTATTTGAGGCAATGAGAACCAGGTTTCTCATCACTGAAGAAAGGAGTTACAAATAAGGAAAAGGGAAAAGTTAGAATAAACCTTGTGGTGTTGGCGGGAATCAAAGGTATCAGTATAAACTGAGTTCACATACTGAGTTCACACTGGTACTTTGGATTCCTACTCCAACACCTACATATATTTCCTAGCTGGGTCCACTGAGAAGGCCTAGAATCTTCACCTCAGCAGTAATAAGTACAACTCGCACCCAGATCTTGATTTCTAAATAACACTTGCAAATAAAAGAAACTAGTATTCCTTGAAGAAATGTACAAATCTAGGATAGGAGCAGGAAAACTACAAGATGAGCTTAGAACATCATGTGGTACTCGAAAATAAAGGAGTCTTCAAGAAGGTTGGGGATGGGGGCAGGAGGGAATGGGGAATTGCTACTCAATGGATGTAAAGTTTTAATTATGCAAGATGAGTAAGTTATAGAGATCTGCTGTACAATGTTGTGCCTATAGTTAACACTACTGTATTGTACACTTCAAAGTCTGTTAAATGAGTAGAACTCAGGTTAAGTATTCTTATCACAATAAAATAAAAAACTTAAAAATCATGAGGAGAACTTTCAGTCAAGATGGCAGTGTAGGTAAACATGGTACTTGCCTCCTCCCACAACCACATCAACATTACAACTAAACTACAGAACAACCATCATTCAGAACCTCCTGAAACTGAGCTAAATCAAAGTCCTACAACTACGAAATTAAAGAAGCCACACCAAGACTGGTAGGAGGGGCAGAGACACGGACAGGCTGGTCCCATACCCACATGATGATAAAAATCAGGAGGGATACCGCAGCTGTGAAACTCCTCCCTGAGGAGTGAGGGATCCCTATCCTACACAAGGGCCCCCCAGCTCAGGGTTCCAGTGCCAGGAAGAGATGTCCCCATAACTTCTGGCTGTAAAAACCAGTGGGAATTGAGGCTGAGGGAAGCTGAGGCTGCTGGAGCCCCAGGCAGTTCCTCTTCAAGGGCCATAGCATGGACTTACTCAGACTCACACCCTCCAGGCTCCAGTGTGCAGGACACAGCTTGAAAGTCACCAGAGACATACGGCGAATAATTGAGTTGTTTGGCATTGGGTGGAGAGATGGAGGGGCAGCTTTCTCTTGGACAGACTTGCTGTCAGAGGCCACTGTTTCTTTGGTGAGCCCTTCCCTGGGGAAGCAGATGGCTGGCAGCCATATCTGGGACTCTAGCAACCTGGTTCACACTGTTTGCCCTGCCCTGGCAATTCCCTGAGGCCCTTTGCCACCCAACATTTGGGCCCACACAAGCTGTTTCCAATGGCTTCACCATATGATTGGCCTGTCTTGGATTCTGTTTCAAATTTTCCTAAATTCTCACCAAAAAAAGTACCATCTAGCCTCAGTGAGTTCCATACCTCTCACTAAGTGGCCCCAGGCCCAGCACTAGGAACACCTAACTTTAGTTCACAACGACTTTGCCTGGGCACCTCCAAGACCAGCACAAGAAGCAGCAACCTGCAGATCGCTTTGTAGCTTATGTTGGGTGGCCCCAGGTAGAACACAGGCAGAGGCTGATCTTGCCCCAGAGCCAGCACACCCAGTGGACAGCTTCAGATCACATCTAAAACCACCATCCAACTACCTCCACAAGTAAGACACTCAATGAGTGGACTCAGTGGGTACCAGAGCCCTGCTGAAGTAAGTCTTTCTCTGTGTGGTGGGCCCTGCATAGCTGGTCCTCCAAAGTAGTCAGAGATCAGTGGTTATTGGGCACAGACAGTCCTTGCAGCTAATCAGCCTGAGTAAATACCTCCCATTGACAAGTCAACAGCAATGAAGGCTCAATTACAACAGAAAGGTGTACACTCCACACTAGGGGTGCACCTCATGGGCACAGCTGGGGTGATGAGGGAGGCTGTGCCACTGTACCCTGTAGGACACCTACTATAATAGGCCACCATAGGAAGCCTAGAAGACATAGAAACTCTACCTAATACATAGAAACAAAGAGAGGCAAGCAAAATGAGAAGAGAAAGAAATATGTCCCAAATGAAAGAAAAGAACAAAACTCCAGGAAAAGAACTAAATGAAATGAAGATAAGCAATCTAACAGATGCAGAGTTCAAAAACACTGGTTATAAGGACGCTCAGTGAACTTAGTCAGGGTCTTAAGAGCATAAAAAAGGAGCAGTCAGAAATGAAGGATGCACTAACTGAAATAAAAAATAATTTACAGGGAATCTATAGTACAGTAGGTGAAGCCAAGGAGCAAACCATTAACTTTGAATATAAGGAAACAAGAAACACCTGATTAGAACAGCAAAAATAATAATAATAATAATAATAATAAAAATGAAGATAGTGTAAAGAGCCTCTGGGACAACCTCAAGTGTACCAATATTCACATCATGGGGGTGCCAGGCAGAGAAGAGAGAGAACAAGAAATTGAAAACCTATCTGAAAATATAATGACAGAAAACTTCCCTAACTTGGTGAAGGAAACAGACATACAAGTCCAGGAAGCACAGAGTCCTAAACAAGATGAACCCAAAAAAGGCCCACACCAAGACACATCATCATTAAAAGCAAAAGGTTAAAGATAATGAGAGAATCTTAAAAGCAGCAAGAGAAAAGCAGTTACTTACCTACAAGGGAGCTCCCATAAGACTGTCAGTTGATTTCTCAAAAGAAACTTTGCAGGGCAGAAAGGAGTGGCAAGAGATATTCAAGGTGATGAGAAGCAACAACCTACAACCAAGATTACTCTGTCCTGCAAAACTATCATTTAGAATAGAAAGATATAAAAGGAGTGTCCCAGACAAGAAAAAGCTAAAGGAGTTCATCACCACCAAAACAGTATTATATGAAATATTGAAGGGTCTTCTTGAAGAAAAAGACAAAAAATATGAATAATAAAGTGGCAATAAATACATGTCTATCAACAACTAAATCTACAAACAAAATAAGCAAGCAGAACAGAAAAAGACCCATAGATACAGACAACTTTTTGTTGGTTGCCAGATGGGAGGGGGGTTGGAGGAATGGGTGAAAAAGGTGAAGGGATTGCCCGGCTGGTGTGGCTCAGTGGTTTAGCGTCGACCCATGCACCAAGAGGTCAATGGTTCAATTCCGGGTCCGGGCGCATGCTCAGCTTGTGGGCCCGATTCCCAGTGGGGGGCATGCAGGAGGTGACCAATTGATGTTCTCTCTTATCAATGTTCTCTCTCATCAATCTCTCTTTCCCTCTTCCTTCCTCTCTCTCTAAAAATCAATGAAAAAAAAATTTAAGGTGAAGGGATTAAGAGGTACAAATTGGTTATTAGACTGACAAACCTTAAAGGGAAGGGGGAGGAGGGGCAGGAAGAGATGAACTAAAGAACTTATACGCATATATCCATAACCAATGGACATAGACAATAGTGTGGGGTAAGCAGGTGGCAGGTAGAAGCAGGGAGGAGGTGGTCAATAAAAGGAAAAGGTGTAACATCTGTAATACATTTAACAATAAAGATAAGTTTTAAAATAAATAAATAAAAACAAATAGTTTTAAACAATAAAAAAAAAACTGCTGCAGAAAGTCACGCCACATGATAACAAAACCAATTACCAAGTGTGATGGGTATGATCACGTACTAATCATTCACAGAACATTGTTTATAAGTAGTGACTCTTGGATTTAAATATGTAGACTATAGTTGTAGATATGTAATATTTATTTATGTTAGCAAAATTACTACAGTGTTTTTTCTAACATATGGCCTGATTGCTAAAATCTGTTAAAATAACAGTGAATTAATAACAAAAAATAACCTTTTATTTTAATTATAATCAAATCTTGGGTAAAAGCATTGTAAAATTAACAGGGTGTTAATTTTCACATATTACATATGGACCGAAAATTTTGTCCTTTAAATCCACATTCCATTAAATCGAGGTCGGCAAAATCAAAGGTTTACTGTACTTTGAATGGGTATCTTTTATTGTATTTAAAGTATATTTCAAGAAAGTTGACAAAATTTCATCACAAATCTCTTGCATTAAAAGGAATTTCTACTTTCTGATTCCATAAATAGATTTCTATTTTGCTGACTACAAATTTAGTATGAAGACAGCAAAAGAAACATGAAAAAAAGGAGGAAAAACACTATAACTAAACTGAACCCATGTTGGATTAAGTAGTCATATGTTAAATTGTAAATATTTGTTCACATACCTTATAGAAGAAATACTGTACAAGGTGTGCTATTCTCACATAATATAGATGTCCATGAGCCAATAGCAGTTTCTTTAAATGTTTAAACTTTGGAAGAGAATAATCACTATTCCTGGATGCTTGGCGACCTTCTTTGCCTTTAATACCTAAAAAAAGAAAGAAAATCTCTATAGGATGAGTATTTTATAGAATAAACAAGCCCTGGATTTGTTATTTTCAACTTGCTTACATGTTATAGTTCAATTCTATAGTCTAGCTTAGTTTTATTTAACCAAAAAGCACTTTCTTGCCCTGGCCGGTTTTGCTCAGCCGTTAGAGCATTGGCCCTCGGACCAAAGAATCGTGGGTTTGGTCCCTGGCCGGGTCGTGCAGTAGGCAACCAGTTGATGTATCCCTCTCACATAGATCTCTCTCTCTCTCTCTCTTTCCCTCTTCCCTTCCCTCCCTCCCACTCTATCTGAAGAAAATGGAGGGAAGTATCCTCAGGTGAGGGTTAAAAAAAAAAGTACTTTCTTTAACAATGACAATTACCAATAAAGAGTAAAATCAAGTTTAATTGGTATTTACCTATTTATAACACACTATACAACAATTGAATAGAATAATTATTTTAATCATTATAAGGCAAAAATTACCTTGAGAAAAAATTAAACCTGAAAGTTATTTTAAAGCCACCTAGTGCTTAATTGTGCATGGCACTAAACTGGGTACAATATTAAAGCAAACCAGAGACCTGGGGTTTGTGGTCTAGGAGCTGAAAACTAAAAAGTTACAATGAGATAGTGAAATTCTTTCAATGAATAAAACTCTCAGTAGTGCCTATGTTTTATGAGCTTAAGCAGCTTTAGGCCATTTCTACAATGGATAACCAATGAATAGAAAGAACTAAGAGTTCCACATAATATAGGGTTACTTCCAAATGAAAATAATTTGGGAATCCAAACTGCAGTACAATAATTCCCAAGATATAACTTCCATTACTTCTCCTCCTTCAAAAAAAAAAAAAAACTTGCTAGGATGTTAGGATTGCTTTTTACCAGCAGCCTGACGGGGAAAAAGGTACAGGTTATAGAGAAGCTGTTGTTATATGCCAACATATAAATTGAACACCACAGCCCAAACCACCCATAAATAATACCATGTGGAAAACCAGCCAAGCATTTATCATTTCTTAGTACCAAACAATTAAGAATCTCAAAAGATATAGTGCAGCAACATAGGAAGGTAATGTGGCCAGGAGAGAAAAATCAATAAAATTTCATACATGCTGTAAAAGTGAGATCAATTGTGCTGCTAGTAGATTTGGGAAATTCATTTTACTTGGCTCATATAAAAAGATCTTCAACTTTGTATTGCTATATTCCCCCCCACAGGAATAGGACTTCGGATGGACATGTTGCATGATAAAATGGCGACCTTCAATCAATTAAAAATTGATTCCCAAGTTCGAATTCAGATGAGCAACCAAAACAATCTCTCTAGAATATAAGACCACACTACCTAAAAGCAATACTGATACCTTACAGCTGCCATCTCATTAGATGTTTCTTACCTATTCCCACATGGGATTCCAAGATCATACTAACATCATTGGCACCATCACCTATCGACAGTGTTATTGGGCTGCCTTTTAAATTCTTCACCATTCTGACAATCTAAACATTAAATACAAAAGAGGTATAGAAAAGGTCAAAGCTGAAAGTGAGATTGTACTACATTAGGGATAAATGCCTCATTCATACCTGTACATGGAAGCTGCAAGCTGAAAGGGCATTTGTGCGTATATGTATAATCATAGAATTTTCAGAGGCAGAAGAACACAGCTTTTTAAAATGTAATACCAAGGAGACTTGACTTGGGGAGGTAAACACACAATACAATATACAGATGATGCATTACAGAATTTTATACCTGAATGCTAAATAATTTTATGAACCAATGTCACATCAATAAATTCAATGAAAAAGAAATAAAATGTAATACCAGTGCCCACTTGTTTCTGGTTTTATGACTATATGAACTGTTAAAATCCCTGCCTCTTACCTATATTAGAGGACAACATGTTTTCCTCTTTTGTCATTGCTTCATGTATCCTTTTGGATCAGGTGCTGAATGTGACAGTGAAGACCAGAAAGTTGATTTGGGGTACAATGCATAGGGCTACCAGAACAAAAGTGGGAAGTGAAAGAACAATGTCTGGGAAACCTATCCCTCTCTTCTCCATGCTGACATTCCTACTCCTCATTGATACACCCCAAACCTTATCCCCAGGGACTTATCTAATGTTAAATTCTTGCATTCATCTAGATGCCAACTAAATTTCTCCCAGTGCCCAATATAATTTCACTTCTCCTATATGTAGCAGCATTTTAAAAGGGGAAAGATTTTTACAATCTGAAGAAAAAACAGAGTATGGGTAGCTACATTTTGAAAGGGGACATCTTAAAGGCAGCGAGATTTGCAGAAACTATCAGAGATATGTGCAAAAAGCCTGTCACTATTCCTCGAGTGTCTCTTCAAGATGTCAATGAAACAGTGTAGCTCAATGCTGTGTTCATGGTAGGTACTCTATAAAATAAATCTTCTGGACACAGACAATAGAGTGGGGAAGGCAAAAGAGAGGTGGGAGCAGGGAGGAGGGGGGTCAATGGGGGAAAAAGGGGGGACATCTATAATAATTTTCAACAATAAATATTAAATAAATACTTACATTACCTTGAAAATAAATAAATAAATAAAATAAATCTTCTGGTGCACTTACTTGTAGGAAGTGTATTCAGTAAGCAGCTGTCCTCCCATCCTATGTTTTAGATAATTACTGCTTTATGTGTCAACCCTCAAAACCCCTTTAAAAGCTTATAAAATCTAGTAGTTAAATAATGCTTTGCAAAAATTCTGTGCTCACAACTGATTTCAATAGTTAACATACATAAAATATATTTTAAACATAACTAAAGTAATTCAAAATAATTTATGTAAAGCTAAATCAACCCACAGTATTTTCTTTAAACAAAATTGTCAGGTTTTATTTAGTATTAAATAGCATACCCCAAAAACCCACATCCAATTCAATTTAACAGAAAAATTATGTTACTGTGGAATGGCAGCATTTCTTCCAATCCTTTCCTCTCATCTGGGTTCAACTATAAAACTTTATAAGAATGTCACAAATTATGAGTCAAAGACAAAATTTAAAAACTCAAATTAAATTATTTTTTTATATGCTACAGTACTTGTTAAACTAATTCTACTTGTTATACTATGTGTAGTAATGATTTGTACCTCAAGGAAGAAAAACTGCAGCCAGGAAAGGTAATGAAATTATCAAAGGTGACAGCTTCTGCATGAAAATATAGATTAAAAATAATAAAGCTTGTCCTTGTGGAAAGAAAAGGAAATATGGTCATGGACTACAAAATAAGGAAAGATTTATAGATAAATATGAAGTTTTTTTTTTTACTGAGCCCCAGGTTACCTGGATTAAGAATTTCTCTTCAATCTCTAGGATAGCTTCATGAAAGAAATCAATTTACCAAAAGCTGTTTATTGATCAAATATAATTTCAGGTAACTCAATGTGCAAAGCAAAGTACAAATTCCAAAAATGATATAAGGCTTGGTCACCTTAAAAAGCATATGATTAAATAGCAGAGATAGAGAATGAATACAAGAATATTAGTAATCAGATTAACAATACAAGAGAACAGTATGCAGTAACCTGTGCAAGGGAATATATAACATTGTTATCTAAGTCATCCACATAACAAGGCCTATGACTTCAGAGAAGGAAGAGGATACTATATACCACAGAAGAGTGATATGATCTCAATCATAAAAGATTGGTAAGATTTCTATGGATGGGGAAAACAAGGTTGGAGAAATATTCCAGATAAAGAAAATGTCACGGCCTGGATGGTGTGGCTCGGTGGTTGAGTGTTGACCCATGCACCAAGAGGTTGCCGGTTTGATTCCCGGTCAGGGCACATGCCCAGGTTGTGGGCCCGATCCCCAGTGGGAGGCATGCAGGAGGCGGCCAATAGATGTTCTCTCTCATAGATGTTTCTATCTCTCCCTCTCCCTTCCTCTCTCTCTAAAACCAATAAAGAAAAAAATATAAAAAAATAAAGAAAATGTCATACTTTAAGACATATAGTTTGGTAAGCACAGCAAATGCTCAGAAAATAGATCTGGCTTCAGCATGTCAATGAGTTTTCATGTAGGGGGAATGGACAGGTACACGTGGGGCCAGATCAACAGGGACTGATATTCTGAAAGTGGCAGCAGGGTGCAAGAAAAATGGGAAGAAAGAGCAAGACTGCAGGCAAAGAGAAGTTAGGTGGCTAGTTATAGGTTCAGTTCAATTAGTTGTTAAAGGCCTAGACCTGGAAAATAATGTACAGAAAGGAATGGATGGCAAAGACAATGATGTACTAGAAAGCAGATGGGAATAAGTGACGGAGGATAAAGCATGGGGGAAGGCAACACAGATTTAAATGTTTTTAATCTAGAAACCTAGTGAGCTCAGTAATAGACACAGAAAAATACAAGGAAAATGAGAGTTGGGCTCTAGAGAAAGCTGAGTTGAGGTGATAATGATACACCCAAGGAGATGTATTCAGTAAGAAACTACAGAAGTAAAGTAAAACCCAAAGATTTGGAATGAAGAAGTGACTTGAAAATTACCTACATGAACATGACAGATGAGTAGATGATAACCCAGAAGTGACTATATTGAGAGAAATAAAACAGAGTGCGGACTGCACCACAGGGGGCTCCATATTCTGGGTGGGAGAATAAGCATGGGGTCAGGAATTCAGTCACCAGCCTGGGCAATGCAATAGTCAAAACCCAGGTGAGGAACTTGAGCAACAATGATTATAGGAGGGATAAAAGGGATATTGCCTCTTACTAAAGGGACAGATTTCTATGAATGTGTTCTGGCAGGATATGCCTCCCGAGCTGGGACTAACCAGGGCTCTGAAGGTTGAATAAAAAAAAAAAAAAAGAGCACCTGACTGGTGAAGATTGAGAGTGAGAAGAAAGTAGACAGAGACAATACACTAAATAAGGATGGGCTCTGTGTGTGCATGTGTGTGTGTGTGTGTGCATGTGTGTGAGTGCGTGTATGAGGCAGGAGGCAGGTTGTATGTAAAGGAGAAGTCAAAGACACAATAATACCCTGTATTTAGAGCAAGCAGCTGAAAAATCTGAAGAAGCAAGACTAACACATATGAAAGAATACTCTAAAGTGCATACAGCAGTGAAAAGTGTATCACTGAGATTCTAAAGTTCCTTGAGTACAAGGAAGCAAGGTGAAGCACATCGATGTGGGCTGGAGAAGATGAAAAGAATAGCGTATGGGAAGTGGTCTTGAGCTGGGTTTTATTATGAGTATAATTTTTGTTAGGCCAAGAGGAATTCCAATAGAATTACAGATGAGGAGATGATAGAAGAAAAACTTGGAAGTTGGCAAGTGCATAGTATGTTGGAAGCACATTAAAGGGGAAACAATTCACACTGGATATGAGAGTTGTGATGGACACAAAGTATGTAGGCATACATTAAGAGCCAACAGGGTGAGCCTTGAGTCCTACACTGAGTCATCTGCCCTTCATTCTGAGAGACTAGGAAACTACTGAAAGTGACTGAGCAAGTATATATGCGAAGTAGTGTTTTGACAAGATTAATTTGTGAGTGTGGGGAAAGCGATTAAAGGGGGAGCTGTGAAAGCAAGGAGACCAAATCAAATGATCTCTGTGTAGTCATCAGGGCTTGGAGTGGGCTGTAGGGAAAAGGTTTAAAAAGATGGCACCAAAATGAGAGCTATGACAAAGGGTAGAATCAACAGGACATAGTGTCTATATATGGAGTAAAAGAGAAGAGCAGGGTCAGAGGTAATTTGGAGACTTAAAAAGCAAAAGAAAAATGGCACTGGTAACAGGAATAATAAAGACATAAAACAAACTGGCCTGAAGGAAAAAAATTGTAAGATCTGTTTTGAACACTAGAATTTAACATGACAGTGGGGAATCCATATGGAGCTGTTGAGCAGACAGCCAGAAATATGAGACTTAATGAAAAAGAAAAGTCAAGACCAGAGAAAACTGATAATTAGGAGAACATAGATGAAAGAAAATTAAAAGACACTAGACTGTCAAGTAGGAGGCAAAAAAAGTCAGGACTGTGTACCATCATGGAAACCAAGAGAGGAGTTTTAAGGAGGCTATAATTGATACTGTCAATTGCAGTGAAGAACTGAGGAGAATGGAAAACAGCACAATGGATTTGGCCAGGAGGTCATTGTTCTCCTTTAGGAGATCCAACAGGGTAAGATGAGAAGAAAGAATGCATGGGACTAGGGTAGGTAGCAGGCAGCAAACATTCATTAGAGAAGTCTGGAAAGTGAGGAACAGGACAACCAGCTTGAGGGAACAACAAGGCTGGTTTAATTCAAATTGAAGAGAAAACTCCTAACTTTGACCACAAAGAGGATGAAGCCAGGGAAGATGTAATTAGGTAATAATAGCTCTTTGAAGAAGAAACACGTTAAAATAAAAGTGAACATTTGCATAGGTGTATATAGAAGTCCCCGGAATGGAACATTAACTAATATCCAGTTACCTGTGCTTTCTGTAACGGTGCCATCCGGCAGCAGAGCACTGCAGTGCACTTCATACAAATCTGTATGAAAATGCTTTTGTAATTGTTAGAACCAGAGTCCTGACCAGAATTTAATATGAGTGACAACGTGGAGCCATCAATAATTAATCCATATTCCTGTTGTTCTGTCCATGCTCTGAAAAGGAAAATCAATACTGTATTTAAATCTATTATACAACTCCATTTAGGAACCTTACTTCTTTTTAACTATAAGGAGGAGGATCTCACGTGAGTCATCATCAATTTGATTCCTGAACCTATAAATTCTAAAGAAGCAAATGTCTCTAATTAGGGCATATCAGAGACTTTTAATCACATGTTTGAGACTCAAGCTGCTTATATAGATGACTTTAAGTTCCAAAACGTGTAAAAATAATGGACATTTAGTGGTCAGTCTCCCTATAAGAAACGGAAGGTGAATTTTGGAAATTATAGATTAGTCAAACTCTGCTATAAAGACAAACTATTAGTCAACCTAGGAACTACTTAACAATACAAGGAAAAGACAAAATGGCTTTGGTGTATACACCCACAGAGGACCTTTTCTTAATAGTTTTGCCTGAATGACATAAAATATAAGTAGACCTGGCTTCTCAAATATGGTGGAGTACCTAAAATATATGGTGTTCATTAAAGAATACCATACAATGATATGCATTCCTTAAATAATTATCATTTTACACCTGATTAGTGGTTCTCAGATACAACCTTCCCATTATGATCATCTGAGCAGTTTTAAAAAAATTGCCCATGCCTGAGGACTATCCCCAGACAAATTAAATCAGAGTATCTTGGGCAAGGCTCAGAGAGATATATATATGTATACACACACACACACACATAAGTGTGCGCGCACACATTAAAAACCTCTGTAGATGATTCTCATGCATAGCCAGGAAAGAAAAATGTAACCAGTTCCAACTATTTAAGAAAAACATATGAGAGGGCTGGCAGGTGTGGCTCTGTGGTCGAGTGTGGACCCATGCACCAATAGGTCGCAGTTTGATTCCCGGTCAGGGCACATGCCCAGGTTGTGGGCCTGATCCCCAGTGTGGGGCATGCAGGAGGCGGCCAATCGATGTTCTCTCTCATCAATGTTTCTATCTCCCTCTCTATTCCTCAAAGTATTGATTTTAGAGAGAGAGGAAGAGAGAAGGAGAGAGAAGAAGAGAGAGGGAGAGACAGGAAGGGAGAGAGAGAGAGGGAGAAAGAGAGATAGAAACATCGATGAGAGAAACATCAATTGGCTGCCTCCTGCATGTCCCCCACTGGGGATCGGGTCCACAACCTGGGCATGTGCCCTAACCGGAAATCGAACTGGCGACCTATTGATGCATGGGTCGATGCTCAACCGCTAAGCCACACCAGTAGGGCAAGAAAAACTATTTTTTAAAAAAGAAAAACATGAGGGGAAAACTTACAACTGAGAAAATTCTACCAATCAACATGTATTTTTTTTTTTTTACAGTGAAGAATAAAACAGTGATTAGTCAATGTTAGCTCAGGAAATCTTGGGTGTCAATTGAGAACCAATGCAGTGAAAGTATTAGAGCTTGATCTCACGATTATATATTCATTTGTCTAACTTGATGCTTCCCAAAGTTTAATGTTTAAAAGAATCTTGCTAAAATTTCTGGAAATCTTGTAGATTCTGATTCAATAAATTTGGGGGTATATCATAAGATTTTATATTTCTAACAAGTTTCTGGTGATAATGGAGCTGCTGTTCGATGGACCAAACTTTAAGTAGTAAGAGCCTAATATGCCTCATCTATCCTTTATTCCATATTTCTTTGGTGTATAGTGCTAACACCATAATATTTTGTACTTATTTATATTTTGATTCATAATTTTATGACCATTTTTTTCACTAATTAAAGAGATATCACTCATGTGTTCTCCTTCTTTGCTCCCCTATCCACAGAGCTGACTTATTATGTAAACAGTGGCTCAATAATCAGTCAATCAATATTTGTAAATACCAACTATAACTAGGTCATATAAAAGAATGAAAAGAATTATTAACTAATCTTTCCTTGGAGAACAGAAAATCTCCTTGGGGTGACAAAAACATATGATAGACTATACAACCAAAGAAGATATTAAATAGTCACTATCCAGTGATTGGGGCAATAAATGCACAGGAAGAACAGTGGGTTCTTTATGAGGTGTGATATCTAAAATGGAACTTGAAAAACAGGGCAGAAAGTTGTACGGAGAGAGAATGTATGTTGTGATGCACTAGAAAAGCAAGTTGAAAATGTCACTTGAGGGCTTTGGTCCAAACTGATTCTGTGGGTAATGGAGAACCACTACACGTTTCTGAGCAGGAACATGATATAGGCAGTACTTTATATTTAGGGGTCTCTTGTCTGGCAGAGGGGCTTAAGGGATTTGAGGCATAGGTTACTAACAAAATCTGATGTGGAGCACTAGTGGTGAAAATGAGAACATGAACAAGGTTTGTTGGCTGATCTGAAGTTGAAAGGGCAAAAAAGCACAAGCTGGCAGAGGTGATTCTAGGTCTGACACCTATGTAACCTGGGGAAAGACTGCACCCATACAATTCTAAACAGATGAGCCAGAAAGATGGAATGCTCTGAGCTGAAAAGTTTTCCATAAGCCCTGGCTTTTATAAAAGTGCCCCAGAACTGCTGAATGGTGCTATGGACTGAACTGCGGTTCCCATCAAGTCTTATGTTGAAGCTCTAACCTCCAATGTGATGGTATTTGGAGATGGAGTCTTTGGGAATTACTTAGGTTTAAATAAAGTCATGAGGGTGGGGCTTTTATGATAGGATCAGTGTCCTTATAAGAGGAAGAGACACCAGAGCTTCCTTTCTCTGTGCAATGTAAGGACACAGTAAGAAAGCAGCCTTCCGCAAGCTAGAAAGAGGGAGCACACCAGATACAAGAAATTAGTTTCCACTGTATAAGTCACCCAGTCCATGGTATTTTGTTATGGTAGCCCAAAAAGACTAAGAAAACAGGCAAGTAAAATTCATGTAATTTGGACTGCCTTTATAAGTGCAATTTGCCTAAAGGAAGGAAACATTAATCAAAGGCAATTAATAAAAACCTGTTTATTCTCATTGATGCCCAAATACCAGAATAACAGCTGTTTTAGAATTGGCCATAGCCTCATGAATGTGGGCTATTAATATTTAAAGTTTGTTTCAACACTAGAGATGAGGATAATTGTTAAAGTTGTAGCATGGGCTCTGGAACTGGATAGACTTGTTCTAACCCTTATTAGCTGTGTGATCTTGAATAAGTCACTTCATCTCTCTAAGCCTTAGTTTCTCTACCTATAAATTGAAGAAAATAAGATTGTCTTACTGGGTTGCAGTGAAGATTAAATGAGGATAATTATATAAAGTGCTTAATATTGTTCCTGGAACAAAGATCGTGCTCAAGAAATGAAAAACAGTATTATCTAGGGGTCTTTGAATTTAGCGCAAGCACATCCTGTAGCATTCTTGAAGAGGAAATCAATTTGCTTCTGGGCAAGGTAAATTCTAGTAATTGGTTTAGACATGGCTAAGCCTTGGTCAATGATAACTATAAAAAAATATGTCACTGAATTATTGTGGATCGGTGGCTTTCCTTGAGATCCTTAGGTTCCACAAGTTCTTCCTAAGCAGCCAGTTGAAAGCAGAGTTGAAGTGTCCATGTTAACAAGATTTGGTTCCCTTTGGAATTCTGGGGCATGAAAATCCATAGAGAAAATGGGTCCAGAGTCTCAAAATATATGGAAGTTATTACAGAGACTAGTTTTATTACATTCAGTTTAAGAAACTGTGAAAAGAAGTATTTGTTCTTAACACAGCCCAGGCGAGAATATTAATGCTAAATACCCAGGCCTTATACACTGAGAAACTGAACTAGTTTTCTAAACCTTGAGAAGTGCAGGGTTTTCTTTTATTTTTTATTTTTTGTTAATCCTCACCTGAGGATATTTTCCCATTGATTATATTATTTATATATATATATATATATATATATATATATATATATATATATATATAGTTTTTGGATAGAGTGGAAGGGAGGGAGGGGGAGAGAGAAACATCGATGTGAGAGACACATCAGTTGGTTGCCTCCAACATGACCTTAACTGGGACCAGGGATTGAATCTAGGTCAACACAGGTATGTGCCCTTGACCGGGAATAAAATCCATGACCCTTCAGTCCATGGGCCAATATTTTCTTTTAAACTAAAAGAAAGGTAAAAAATGCCAAATAATTTCAATTAGGTCATTAGCTACATCTTCAGGAAAGGTTTTAATTTATAAGGATAAAATACCTGCAAACAAAGAATAAAAAATAGAGCCTTCTGCAAAAGCAGCTGTCATTTACATCTGTACCAATGTCTAAATATAAGAAACTGATGCACCTTCTTACTTTTTAAGGCTTTTAGTACTTTTGGGAAATTCATGCAGCAACTTCTTACGGTATTCTATCAACAATTCATGTAATCGATCTTCTTTCCTTTCACTTTCTTTGATGGTTTTTGTGGTAAGTTCCAAGAGCTCAGTGCTGGTTTGGAAAAGGCGGCAGGCATAACAGGTGGATTTGGCTGTCTCCATCTTATCCCCAGTAAGCACCCAGACTTTCAGACCTGCTGCATGCAGAGCTTCAATGGTCTCGGCTGCTTGATCCTGTAGCCTGGGAACACAAAAGAAACTTTGTTGTCCTAAAAAATTCCCAGCGGAGATTCTTTAAGAAGGCTTGTTAAAGAGAATATTTTCACAATTCATAGCATTTCTGGAGTCCTGACATGCTTTCACAGTCGGTTTCCTTATGTATGTTCTACTCTGAGAGTATTCTCTCTGGTACAGTTTTACTTATTAAAGTGAATTTCAAACAATAAAGTTTAGAAGAATTCATGACATCTCTTGATATAACTGGTATCCTATGGCCAAATTGAAAATCATCATTTTTAGCTAAAACATTCAGAAATTCACCAGGCATTCTTATTCATCATCACTTAAGCATATTGCATTATGTTTTATATGTCACCACACAGATACTTAATATGGTTCAAGACAGAAAGAGCCAAATATATTCTAATGAGATACTGAGGAAAGCTAGTGAACCCCACCCCATCCCTAAGGAGCTTTAAAAACAGGAAAGTCAACCATCCTGAAAGAGAATTTAAGCATAATCCTAAAAGGCAGGGATAAAAGGAGAGTGATACTTTCTTGGAGTTCCTTTTGGTAAGAGAATAAAAATTAAATTAAACTAAAATAATTTAATTAGAACTTTAGTACCTTCCAATGTGGCTGAATATATATTTGTAACTTTTTATTTGGTTAAGTCTCAAAATTGGCACATATAACTTAAAAAACAAAAAACTCCTATAATACTGAGTCTAAACTTTTCAGGAAGATCAATGCTAGGGCCCTACAATTATGTCTTTCAGAGCTCAGACTATAAAGTTAAAGCAACTCATTTTAAAGTATGCAAAAACAAGCTCTAGTCTGTTAAACCATGTTAAAATGGACTTTCATGCTATTTATTCTACCTTGAATTTTCTTTCTGCTCATGTCTGTCAAAATTGTACCCATTCTACCAGGTATCAGCTCAACTCAAATTATAACTCCAGCACAAAGCTCCCTACACATAATAAGACTATTCCATAAATATCTGCATAAATAAATTATGGCTTCAAAAGACCTTAGAGATGACAGATTCATTCTTCTAACTCACAAATATTTAACTTAAAAAATCATTCCCATGAATAGTTCAAAATCTGGTGTGTAGTCAAAGCAAAATCAAAGATGTCAAAACTTGAGACTAAATTATCAATCTGAACAGATACCACCCCAAATGACTGGTCATTGAAACAATAAGAATATCATTTTCTAGTTACTTGTCTTCCACTGCAGTAGCTCCAATTAAATTCATGTTTGTCTCAATATCATCAAAAACTTTTTCCATTTTTTCTTCTCTGTCTTGTAAGACCATTTTCGCCTCTATGAGCTGTCTGTCAATTCTTTCATAATCATCTGGAGCAATTTCTTTGAAGGCTACACAAAGTGTCCGATACCCATCCTAGAAGCAAAGTAAGAGATCTCTAGTTATCCATATAATAATAGAAAAAGAACCACACTCTATTTAAATACTCTTGCTTTCCCATATAAAAGAGAAATAAAAGAACAAATTACAACTAAAAAGGTAATATTCAACTATGTTCAAACTAACAAAATAATTATTTCTGGAAGAAAAAAAGAAGAAGCAGAACATAATACAAAGATTCTCGAAAAGTCCATAAGGATCCAAATTCTGAAGAGAAACTGTCTCTAGAATAATGCTTTATAATAAAATAAAGAAAACACTATTATTAAAGCCCCAAATCTAAAAATAGATCATAATGGAGTGGAAAATGGCAACAGAGTGAATGGAGGCCAAACAGACCATCTCTTAGGACCAAACTGGAATTACAACTAAAATAAAGACAAAACATTGGGGAAAACCAATTGAAAAGCAACTGGAGATAACCCATACAACCAGGGACAGAAAAAGGATGCCAAATCAAGCCTGGTAGGAATTGTGGAGACTGAAAGCCCATGGACAGCAGCAGAGAGCTGTATTAGCTAAGGGCACTTACCGTAGAGAAAGTGGGGGTTTTAAGAAGGACCAAATCAGCTACAGCCACTCACCTTGGGCTCTGGTAGAGGGAGGGCGGACTGGACTGCAATTGTGTGGAGAGAGTCCAAGGCTCCTGGCTAAGGAGAGAGCTAGATGGAGGACACTGGGAATTTTGTGCCGAATCACCACCTCACAGGACAGTAGCCATCTTACTCAAAGAGCCTCTTCCCAGAGCCCAGGGGAGAAGCAACGGCCCCTCCCACAGGAATTAACATCGTCAGGCCGGCCAGAGAAATGCAAATTCAGGCTCATTAACATCAAGTCTGATAGCAAGCAAGTATCCCACCCATTGGAAATCCTCTTACACCTGAGAGATTTTTCATTCAGATGAGGGCTACAATTCCAGGCTCATCAAGTATCTGAGATTAATAGCCTCCAGGCAAAAAGCTAGAGGATATCTGAACCTTTCTCTGGCTTGCAAATCTACTCAGGAAAGTAAGACCGGACAGAGCCCAGCAGAACACCAACACCCACAGGGAAAATTTGGCACACTCCAAAATCCACTGTGACAGACAAAATGGTGAAACAGAAAAGAATCCCAAATGAAAGAACAAGATAATTCTGCAGGAGAGGAAATAAATGACAGAATTAAGCAAGCTATCAGAAGGAAGAGTTCAGAATAGTAATCATGAGGAAGCTCAACAGCATAAGAAAAGATATAGAAACACTAAAAACCAACCAATTGGAAATAAAGAAGGACAAAGCAGAAAGAAAAAACACATTGGAAGGAATAACTAGTAGAGTAGAGGAAGCTGAGAACCGGATCAGTGAATTAGAAGTCAGGGTATAAAAATCATCCAATCAGAAAACCAAAAAGAAAAACAATTAAAGAACAGGAAGACAGCATAAGAGAACTGTGGGACAACATAAAATGTAACAATATCCACATCATAGGAGTTCTGGAAGAAGAAGAAAATGAGCAAGAGTTAAGGAATATATTTGAAGAAATAGTGACAAAAAACTTTCCTAGCTTGCTGAAGGAAAAAGGCATACAAGTTCAAAAAGCACAGAGAGCCCCAAGTAAGAAGAACCCAAAGAGGCACACACCAAGACACATAATGATTGAAATGCCAAAAATTAAAGACAAAGAGAGACTCTTAAAGGCAGCAAGAAATAAGCAACAGGCTACTTACAAAGGAACCCCCCCCATAAGGCTCTCAGATGACTTCTAAACAGAAACACTACAGGCCAGAAGGGAATGGCATGAAGTATCAAGGTAATGAAAAACAAGGATCTAAATACAAGACTACTCTTTCCAACAAAACTATCATTCAAAATAGAAGGTGAAATAATGAGCTTCCTAGACAAAAAAAAAAAAAAAAGGCTAAGGGAATATATTAGCACCAAACCAGCACTCCAAGAAATGTTAAAAGGACTTCTGTAATAAGCAGAAGAAATAGGAAGAGACACATAACCAGAATAAACAAAAATGGCAATTAATAAGTACATATCAATAACTTAAATTTAAATGGATTAAAATTTCCAATCAAAAGACACAGAGTAGCTGAATGGATGAAGAAAGCATGATTCATATATATGCTGTTTCCAAAAGACCCACCTCACACCAAAAGACTCTCATAGGTTGAAAGTGAAGGGATGGGAAAATTTTTTCCAAGCAAACAAAAAGGAAAAAAAAAAAGTGGGGCAGCAATACTCATATCCGATAAATTAGACTTCAAAATGAAGCCCATAACTAGAGACAAAGAAAGCCACTACATATTATTGAAAGGATCTATCTACCAGGAAGATATTACCTTGATAAACATATATGTACCCAACATAGGAACACCAAAATACATTAAAACAGTTCTGGAGGACTTCAAAGGAGAAATCAACAGGAATAGAATCATAGCAGGGGACTTCAACACCCCTCTGACATCACTGGATTGATCCTCTAGACAAAAACTTAGCAAGGAAACAGAGACTCTAAATGATGCACTAGGTCAAATGGATTTAATAGATACCTACAGAGAATTACACCCCAAAACTGCAGAATTAACATTCTTCTCAAGTGCAAATGAGATATTCTTAAAGACAGACCACATGTTAGGACACAATCTAAGTCTCCACAAGTTCAAGAAGATTGAAATCATATCAAGCATCTTCCTAGATCACAATGGCATGATATTAGAAATCAATTACAGAAAAAACATTCAAACACATGGAGGCTAAATAGCATGTTATTAAACAAGGAAAGGGTTACCAAGGAGATCAAGGAAGAAATTAAAAACTTCCTGGAAACCAATGAAAATGAACACACAACAACACAAAATCTATGATTTCATTTATTTGTGGAATATAATGAACAAAATAAGGTGATAAAGAAAATAGACCCAGAGACATCGTAGTAGGGTACACACTGACAAACCTCAGAAGAGGGAGGCAGTGGGGAGGCAAGAGATAAACCAAAGAACTTATATGCATGTATGCATAATGAATGGACATAGACAACAATGCAGGGGTGTGTGTGTCAGGATTGGTGGTCAATGGGGGAAAAAGGAGAAATATCTGCAACAAAAATAAATTAATAAAAACAAAAATAGAGCATAAAATTAGTTCAAATTCACTTAAATAGATATTTAAATAGCAACCCCATAAATAATAGTCATCTCCAGCATTTCTCTATTTCTTGGGGGTATGGATATAGGCTCACCATTGCATTTCGTTCCACATGGGCTTTAGTTGACTCAATGTCATGATTTTGCACCCTGGGGAAAACTGCTGAGTCAGCTCCTTTACAAAAGAGAAGTATGTCTCCTAAAATAAAGAACCAAAGTACTTGACTTGGGATTTTAAGACTTGTACTTGGACTTTAGTAGCAGATAACTATTAGGGTGGGCACTGCCACCCAGCTGTTATGTATACTGAGACTGTCTTGCAATGCTCACCCAAAAGAATGAAACACCTTGACCTTTACACTGTCAGGGCAACATTTACCACCTCTTAAGACCCAGACGAACACAAGTAATAACTCGAGTTTACAACATGCACCTTTTTAAGAATATACTTCCTTCTAGTGAACCATGCAAGACTGTGCTTGCGTCAAGAAGTGCAACTGAATTATCTTTGAAACTGCTGTCAACCATGGTATAAAGAGCATGTGTGGCACCTACAGATATCAAGAACCAAACTCATCCTCAAACGAAATAAAATAATTTTGAATAAGCCACACAAATTAGCTTCTGAACAGTGGCTTGATGGTTTTTACCAGAAGCTTGAGAATAGCTTTGTAGAAAATAGTTGCAAATAGTTTGTACTTGGTAGCACAAGTACAGCTTTATTATCAGTTCATGCATCCAGGAACGTAGTAACAGTTGAGCATTAAGAAAAGTCACTTCAGCCCTACTGATGTGGCTCAGTTGATTGAGCATCATCCCATGGACTGAAAGGTCGTGGTTCAATTCCCAGTCAGGGCACATGCCCAGACTGTGGTCTCAATCCCCAGTGGGGGGCGTGCAGGAGGCAGCCAATTAATGTTTCTCTCTCACAGAAATGTTTCTATCTCTCTCTTCCTTCCTCACTCTCTAAAAAAATATCAATATCGCCCTGGCTCTTTTGGCTAAGCGGTTAGAGCATCAGCCTGTGGACCAGAGAGGTTCAGGTTCGGTTCCTGCTAAGGGCACGTACCTCGATTGCAGTTTGTCCCCAGCCCTGGTTAAGGTGGGTTGCAACCAGTCCATGTGTCTCTCTCACGTCCATGTTTCTCTCTCTCTCTTCCTCCCACTCTCCCTCCCCTTCTATCTGAACATAAATGCAAAAATGTCCTCTGGTGAGGATAAATATATATATATATATATATATATATATATATATATATATATTTTTTTTTTTTTTTTTAAAAAGGTACTTCATCCTTATAAGGCAAAATGCTGAGTCCAACAACTTACAAAACAGCAATAGTGTTGCTCTGACGTTAAGGCCCTTGGAAGATCACTTCCCTAGATATCTCACCATTTGTAGTAGAATGCGTACGTGCATGGGCATAGGTAAAAACAGCAAGTATTTCAAATGTTAACTTTTTTTTTCCATTTTCTCTCACACACCCAATGTATGTAAAAGTCGCAAGGCAAATTATACATTAACATAATTAAATCATTTTTATGACTTTGTAATCACACTACAATGTATGAATAAAGTAGGATAAATTCCCTCAAGAGTCTGTCTGTATCTTCCCATTCTACCATTCAGAAATTTGCAACAGATTTAACAATAAAAAGTAAATTACTAGGAAATTAATCAAGGGCATTTTGTAAAAGCCATGTGGAGACAGACACACATACACAAACAGATACAGAGGCTTCTGAAAGCCCACAAATGTAATAGGATTTCTCCCCATGAGTCTTGCTGAATTCAAACAGAAGGTATCTGAATCACCATGGGTCTTCCCAAAGATACAGGGGAACCCTGGGATTATGGTACTGGTCCCCTTGCAAGCAAAGGGCAAGCTTCTTTACTCTGTCAAAGAGGCCAGAGTGCTGAAGTAATATTACAATTCTTTCACATTAGGTTGCCATTAGTTATTTCTAGCTCACTGGCTTCCAGAAAGTATAAAGCAGTGGGGAATGAGGAAGGTAAAGGAGGGATAACCAGCAACTCTCTACACTCAAGGATTCAAGGCTAGTAATTGTAAACCCCACAATTGTACTGGGCTGCTGCATGTCGACATTATTGGTGATTGGTCAGTACTCAGAACAAAAATGTCATTGTTTTTGTTCTTGTTTGCACAACCAGGACTGAGTAGAGTTCAGTTTCCAGGAAAATGTATACACTGTCATACCAGGGGTTCTGTCACTGACAATTTGGCATGCTGAACATATGTGCTTAGTACCTATATAAATACATTAAAGCCTATACAGTGGGCCCTTGTTTATCGCAGTTAATCTGTTCCAGACTTGACCGCGATAAATTTCTGTGAATTAGGATTCTTTAAATACAATCGTCCCTCATCACTTTGCACTTCAACTTTCGCAGCTTCGCTCTATGGTGGTTTTTTCAAGTATAGTATAGTATAGTATAGTATAGTATAGTATAGTATAGTATAGTATAGTATAGTATAGTATAGTATAGAACTTGAAAAAGCCATGATAGAGTCAAGCCGGGAACATTGAAGTGCGAAGTGGCGAGGGACAACTGCACAAATGCTACTGCTTTACATGATGTTAGGTAATTATATACTACTACATTTAATGTTTTCTTTCTTGAAATTGTTGAGTAACATATAAATCTAAAGTGGAAAAAGAGAAAAAGTCAATTTTTTAAAATGCATACCTGCTTGAGTCTTCACAATGACACTCATACGACGGCGGACAGAATCAAAGTTTAAGGTGTGAAGAAGTTTATACCTTTATGAGAAGAAAAATGAGAAAAGTGAAATAGCTAATCACACTAGGAAAAATAAACACAAGAGACACACCTTAAGATATTTAAACATCTTAAATGAACAGAGATCTCCTCTTTGGGTAAGGGGTGCTGGTTATGTGTACAACTGGTGATTTCCATTGTAGTTTTTAAATTTCGTTGCACTTAGAACATGCAGTCAGAGGACACTTGTTCGCAAGGGGTATCTGTACGCTCTCATTATATTACCTAAAATGGTAAAGAGAGAGTGACTACATAGGAATGAGGGACAAAGAAATGTCCCACCAAGCCATATTTCAAGGGGTCTAGATAGAAATAGTCTCACCCTGCCCATTATTTTAATTATCTATGAAATGTCTACTATGTGTCAGGCACAATGCTAGATGCTGGAAAATAGACAGGAAACTGCCTGAGTCCCCTCCCTCAAAGAGCTCCCTATATGATAAGGTAATCAGAGGGTAAGGTATGAGATGGCTACCTTCCAGTCTGACAAATACTGTAATAAAGAAACTTATAGGAGAGATATGGGGGGTGCAGAATGGAGATATCTGAAGGAAGGCTTCCTGGAAAGTTTTACCTGAGCTGTGTTCTCTAAAAGTGATATGATGAAGAAAGGGTACCGTGGCATTCTGAGTAGGGAAGAGCATATACAAAGGCACAGGAACATGATAACATATGGACCATTGTGGGGATATAAAGTAGTTCACTGAGGCTTGACATCTAGTTAATAGGGGAATAGTAAGGGTGGTAAGCAGGGGCTGGGAAATGAAAATACTGTGGGCCAGAGATTTGGGATTTTATCCTAAGAGAAATACGAATGCATTGAAGTGTTTAAACAGTGGAATGATATGATCAGATTTCTCTGTGGATGGCTGCTATATTAATCACATGAAAGGACGAAGAAGGATAAAAATAAAAATTAATTATTTTAAAAATGTGAGAAAATATTTTCTTGAAAATAAACAACTTGGATATAAGCATTTGACCTAAAATATTTAACAAAAATCTTGTTTTTGATGGGAGTGAGGGGACATGTGTGTGTAAAACATCAACATGTAGCATTTCATTTGGTGTTGGCCAAGATGGGAGCACTGTTGTAAACTGGTTAGAATCTGGACTGATGATGACTCTGGGCTCTTGACAGTCAGGTGAAAGAGCCTTCCTCTCACTTCTGAGCACTTCTCTCCAAAGACACATATTGCCCAAGCACATCTACATGTATTACAGGTTTGTGAAGTGGGTTTCATGAGATGCTGGGGTCAGAATGTAAATTAGATAATTAAATTTCAAGTTAAAATAAAGGAATTCAAATTAATCACAGAGCCTAATTCAAATGTGCTATCAAGCCAAAGTGGCTTTGTTTGTTGGAGTCTCTGTAGAAGACACTGATGCATTAGGGTACTTCCCCCGAGGCTCAACCCTGAGCATCCAGAACAAGACAAAGCTTCTAACACCAAAATGGCCATGACTGGCTGGGCTTGAAATCCAAGAGTTATTGGTTGGGTTCTGGACAGAAGGTTTCATGCATATTCACGGATTTTTCTTGCAGCATGTGCTGGAGACCTGAAATGGTATTTTAATTTCAGAAAGGAAGTCCAGGCAGACTCTCATTCAGGCTACTGGATCCATATGTGAACCAAACTGGAATCATTTCCACACCAAATCTCAGTTTCTATCATTCTATGAAAAATGCCTTTCTCCTCCTATAACTACATTTACATAAAATTCTGAATGGGGAGAGCACAGTCCAACACTTATAGATGCAATCAGTTTCCTCTGCTGCCCTTACTAAAGTCAATGAAAGTTGACTGTGGGGTTAAGATGTGACAAACAAATACACAGCGCTACTCACTCTTCTATTTCTTTTCTTTGGTTCTCTACTCTCATATGGCCATTCTGAATTCCTAAAAATGTGAATCCATACCTGTCAAAAACAATAAGAAAGACATTTGTATATTTCTAAAGAATAATTTTCTTTGCACTGGGGTTACTTATATTATTTTATTGTTTTCTTCTCTTTCATACAATCTCAATTTATAATTGTATTTCCCTTTACTGGCTGATCATAACACATAACAAATCAATACCCAGTCACAAACTGTAACCAAAAAAAAAGAGGTAATTTATAATTCCAATTAACATACTGGGTGACCTTTTAGCCACTTATTCATCTTGGGCCTCATGGGTAAAATGGGACTGTCATTACAAAATTACGTCAAAATCGCTAGGAGCACTTCAGAAATAACATGTGTTGTAGTGGCCATTGTTATGATTTACAAAATATAACATGAACATTTAGACTTCTGGCTGCTATGAATAAACAGTAATATAAGTTACACATATGCATTACTATTTTCTTTTTGCTCTTAATTGGTTAGTATTTAGGAAGTTTTCAGAAACTTTCAGATAAATGAGTCTGACTTTTATTAAAGATTAAGTATATTGACAAGATAAGGTTATTGAAGCTGTGATTTCACTTCCTCAGGAAAAGTAGAGGAAGTGCTTCATTTTTTTCTTCACTTTTCAAAAATGATAATGTATTTCTCTGCAACTTATCTCAGTGTTTTAAAACAGCTTTATTGAGGTATAACTGATACACAAAGAACTGCACATATTTAATGTGTGTAATTTGATGAGTTTGGACACATGCAAACACCCGTGATACCATCACCACAATCAAGGTAAGATATACCTGACATCTCTCAAAGTTTCCTTGTGTCCTTTTGTTTTTTTGTTTTTGTTGTTTGTGGTAAAAATACTTAATGTGAGATCTACCCTCTTAACAAATGTTGAAGGGCTAGAATACTGTATTGTTAACGATAGGTATGGCACTGTAGAACAGATCGCTAGAACTTATAAATCTAGAATAATGTCAAGTGCTTACTTTTTAGCTCCTTTCACCAAAGCTATTTCATCTGGTGAAGAGGACACATAGGTTACTTCAGCTAATTCTGTAGCTCCATCAACAGCATCATTTGTTTTAATTTCTACAGTATGGCATAAACACAAGGCACGCAGAAAGAGCTCTTCTCGATTCTGTTGAACAGGAGTAAACAAATAACTTAATTTCACTTTTATCACTTGGTGACTAGTCCATGAATAAAGAAATAAATTAATGTGAGAGAAAGTTATAACTTCCAGCAAGTTGAGCTAGCAGAAATGTATAAATTCTTAATACTCAAATGAGCTATATATCTTCCTAGTACCTAACAGCATTCCTGGTTCTCAGCTAATATATTGTAGGGGCTGTGTTAACTCATTCAGGTTAGTGTAGGGCCACCTAATACTAAAGCAGTGACTTCTTCATGCCCTAAAAGAGTTCATTCAGTATCTAATATACAATCTGGCAACAGCTCAGGCTCAGGTAGACTCTGGTTCATTTAATGCCTAGACACTCCTGGGACCTGAATGATTTGAATAGATATCATTCTAGGAGAAGCTCATATTTTAAAGATAAAACACAAAAAATTATGATCACACAGAAAGGGAAGTGAAAGTTTTACCCAAATGCAATTACTAATAATTCTCTCTACTTGCTTGAAATTCCAGAGGTGTTAATAAAACAAGAAAGGTGAAAAGAGAGAAGAAATAAATGGTTATTCAAAAGCCTGTTACAGGCTAAAATTTTTCATTTCTACTATGCAGGATTAACACATGCATACATAGATTGAGTTTTCAAGATAAAATGGTAATGCAGAAAAATGCAACCTTATCTGCTTTATCAAAATATGTTAAGGGTCCATCAGTTTGAGGGAGTCCATCAGTTTCCTGAGTTACACCTTTATACTTGTGCCCATCTATGCAGCATTCAATGAATTCCATACTGTTTTCAGTAAGTGTTCCAGTTTTATCTGTAAACACATAGTCTACCTAAAAACAAGGACACAAACATACATTTTAAATTTGTTCAGTGTGATTAATTTTTAGTTGGATGAAGGCAGAGTAATTGTCGTATCCATAAAACATACCTTTTCTAAGCCTTCTTGTCAAAGTCAGCTAATTACAGAAGCAATATTGTCAAATGAATGAGAAATGAAATTTTTTTTTAATCTTCACATGAGGCTATTTTTTAATTTATCATCAGATACAGTGGGATAGAGGGAGTGAGAGAGAGGGAGTGAGAGAAACATCGATGTGAGAGAGAGGCAAATCAATTGGTTGCTTCCCGTACCACCCGACCAGGCCCAGGGACAAACTGCAACCAAGGTACATGTCCTGGACTGAAATCGAACCCGTGACTCAATGGTCCTCAGGCCGAGGCTCTAAGCACTGAGGCAAACTGTCCAGGGCAACAAAACAGTATTTTTAAAGATACAAACCAGTATCACGTGTCTATGGTACACCTATTCAAATAGAGAAGATTAATAGGAAGGAAGAATGTGGCTATTTTATCAAAGTAAGAACCCTGAAATTTAACACCTACCCATTCTGATGTAAAGTTACAGGAGAAAATCAATTTTCAAAGTGGGAAACAAGATCATACTGACCACATATTTTATGTGCATATGTGTGTATGCGTGCACACACCCCTCACACACACAAAACATACATATATTTGATAAGAACCTACACTAACTGGGATATAATAAAACTTTTCCTTAAAAAGTAAAATATTTGGTGCATTGAAACCAAGTGCAGAAGCTGTGGGTCTTCAGCCTCTGTATATTGATGGACTCATCTTTTTCTACTGCAATAGACTTGGGGGGGGGGGTGGAGTGAATGGAAGCTACACAGACCATTTCCCAGGACCAAACTGAAATTAAAACTAAAATAAAGCCAAATCATCGGGAAGAAAAAAAAAAAAAAAAGAAAAGCAGCTTGTGAGGACCATATAACCAAGGACATTGTATCCATCCTGGTAGGATTACAGAGGTGAGAGAGAGGGGCTGGGAGTACACTGACAGCAGCTGTTTTAGCTGTGAGCAGCTCCCTGGGGGTTAAATTCCCAAGCCCACTCCACAGCACAGAGAGCTGGGACACAGCGCTAAAACAGCCATAGCCACTCACCTTGGGCTCCAGCAGAGGGAGGGCAGATGGACTGGAACTGTGTGGGGACACTCGGGATTTGGAGGGCACTCAGAGATTTTGCTGAGTTATGGCCACACAGGACGGTGGCCATCTTACTCCTTCTAAGGGCTCTGGGGATAGGCAGCGGCCCCTCCCAGGGTGATTCTACCCCACCCAGGTGGGACATTGAAATGTATATTGGGGATCATTAACAACCAGAATCTGTGCCACCCTTGGGAAATCCACTTACACTGAACACGTGAAGGAGTTTATCATTCAACTGAGAACCAAGGCTCTTCAAGTAACCTCGACTAATAGCCTCCAGACAAAAAGCTAGAGGATAACTGAACCATTCCTGGGCCCACAACTCTACCCAGGAAAGTAAGACTTAACAGTGGTGTTTAACATGGGTTCTCCCACACTCATCCAAACCCAGTAAAGGGAGCCACAAACAGCAGAACATCAACACCCACAGGGAAAATTTGGCAGGCTACAAAACCTACTGAGATAGCCAAAATGGTGAAACAAAGAAACAAATCCCAAATGAAATAATAAGAAACCTCTACCAAAGATAAGATAAATGAAGTGCAGTTAAGGAAGTTAACAGAGCTAGAATCCAGAGCCATGATCTGGAGGAAGCTCAACAGCATGAGTAAGGACATCAAGTCCATGAGAAAAGACACAGAAACATTGAAAATCAACCAGTTGGAAATTAAAAACCACCAAGAAGAAATGAAGAAGTACATAACAGAAATAAAGAAAACACTGGAAGGACTAACCAGCAGAATAGGAAGCTAAGGACCGGATCAGTGAATTAGAAGACATGATAGAAAAAATCAACCAATCAGAAAACCAAAAAAATAAAACAATTAAAACATAGAAAGACAGCTTAAAAAAATGTGGAACAACTAGAAAGGTAATAACATTCGCATCATAGGAATCCCTGAATAAGAAGAAAATGGGAAAGGGTTAGAGAATATATTCAAAGAAATAGTGACAGAAAACATTCCTAACCTGGTAAAGGAAGAATGCATTCAGATTCAAGAAGCACACAGAGCCACAAGTAAGAAGAACCCAAACAAGCCCACACTAAGACACATTGTAATTGCAATGCCAAAAATTAAAGACAAAGAGAGAATCCTAAAAGCAGCAAGAGAGAAGCAACAGGTTACCTATAAAGGAAGCCCCATAAGGCTCTCAGCTGACTTCTCAACAGAAACATTACAGGCCAGAAGGGAGTGGCATGAAGAAATCAAGGTCATGAAAAACAAGAATCTGAATCCAAGACTACTCTACCCAGCAAGGCTATAATTCAAAATAGAAGGTAAAAAAAAAAAAAAAAGAGCTTTCCAGAAAAAAAAAAAAAAGGCTAAGAGAAGATATTAACACCCAACCACCACTGCCAGGAATTCTAAAAGGACTGCTGTAATTAGTAGAAGAAATAGGAAGAAAAATAAAACCACACTTAACAAAAATGGCAATAAATAAGTAAATATCAGTAATAACCTTAAATTTAAATGGATTAAATGATCTGATAAAAAGACATAGAGTAGTGACTGGATAAGAAAACATGACTCACATATATGCTATTTGCAAAAGTCCCACCTACACAACAAAAGACTCTCATAGGTTGAAAGTGAAGGGATGAAAAAATACCTTTCAAGCAAATGGAAAGCAAAAAAAAGAAAAAGCTGCGGTAGCAATACTCATCTCTGATAAAATAGATTTCAAAATGAAGGCCATAACTACAGACAAAGAAGGCCACTGCATAATACTGAAAGGATCTATCCAACAGGAAGATATAAACTTGATAAATATATATGCACCCAATATAGGAGCTCAAAAATATATTACAAATCTTCTGGAAGACTTCAAAGAAGAAATCAACAGCAAAACAATCATAGCAGGGAACTTCAAAACTCCGTTGACATCAATGGATACAAACTCTAGACAAAAAATTAGCAAGGAAACAGAGACTCTTAATGAAGCACTAGACCAAATGGATTTAATAGATACCTACAGAGAATTACACCCCAAACCTACAGAATCCACATTCTTCTCAAGTGCACATGGCACATTCTCAAAGAGAGACAACATGTTAGGACACAAAGTAAGTCTCTACAAGTTCAAGAAGATTGAAATCATATTAAGCATCTTCTCAGATCACAATGGCATGAAACTAGAAATTAACTGCAACAAGAACATGCAAAGACATTTGAACACAAGGAGGCCAAATAGAATGTTATCACACAATGAGTGGGTTACCCAGGATATCAAGGAAAAAATTAAAAACTTCCTGGAAACCAATGAAAATGAACAAACAATACAAAATCTATGAGATGCAGCGAAAGCAGTTCTGACAGGGAAGTTCATAGTACTACAGACCTACCTCAAGAAACAAGAAAAATTTCTAATAGACGATCTAACCTCACAACTTAAAGAACTAGAGAGCAAACAGAAGAAAACCCCAGAGCAAGTAGAAGGAAGGAAATAGTAAAGATCAGAGCAAAAATAAATGACATAGAAACCCCCCCCCCCAAAAACAACAACAATTCAACGGATCATTGAAACAAATAACTGGTTTTTCTAAAAGATAAACTAGATTGATGGACCCTTAGCTAGACTCACCAAGAAACAAAAAAGAGAACACAAATACAATAAATCAGAAATGAAAGAGAAGTAACAAATGACACCAGAGAAATACAAAAGATTGTTAACAAATATTATGAACAATTATATGGCAACAAATTCAACAATCTAAGAGAAATGGACAAACTCCTAGAAACATACAGTTTCCCAAAACTGTACCAAAAACAGACAAGTTTTTTTAAATTTTTTATTAATGTATTTTTATTACAGATGTCTCTCCTTTTTTTCCCCATTGACACCCTCCTCCCATCCCCACCACCCCGTACTCGGTTTTGTTGTCCGTGTCCATCAGTTATGCATACATGCATATAAGTTCTGTGGTATATATCTTGCCACCCCCCACCTCCCCCTCTTCTGAGTGTTGTCTGTCTGTACCCTACTTCCATGTCTCTGGGTCTACCCTATTCCTCAGACAGTTATATTCATTATATTACATAAATAAATGAGATCATGTGATATTTGTCGTTCTCTGCTTGACTTCTCTTGCTTAGGATAATACATTCCAGGTCCCTCCATGTCATCTGAAAGGATAAGGGATCTTTCTTTCCTATAGCTGCATAGTACTCCATTGTGTATATCCACCACTGCTTTTTTTATCCATTTGTCTACAGATAGAAAACTTGAACAGACCAATAACAACCAAGGAAATTAAAGAGTTAATAAAGACTCTCCCAGCAAACAAAAGCCCAGGCTCAGATAGTTTCACAGGGGAGTTTTACAGAACATTCAAAGAAGAGCTAATACCCATTCTCTTCAAACTATTTCAAAAAATTCAAGAAGAAGAAAGACTTTCAAACTCATTTTATGAGACCAGCATAATTCTACTTGTAAAACCAGAAAAAGGCTCTACAAAGAAAGAAAACTACAAGCCAATATCCCTGAGGAACATAGATGTCAAAATCCTAAACAAAATACTAGCAAATAGGATCCGGCAATGCATCAAAAAAAGTATTCACCATAACCAAGTGGGATTCATCCCAGGGATGCAAGGCTGGTACAACATTCACAAATCAATAAATGTGATACACCACATAAACAAAATGAAATATCAAAATCATATGATCATATCAATAGATGCTGAAAAAGCATTAGACAAAATCCAGCACCCATTTCTGATAAAAACACTCAGCAATGTGGGAATAAAGGGATCATATCTCGACATTATAAAGGCCATATATGAAAGACCTACAGCCAACATCATACTAAATGGGCAA